TATATATATATATATTATGCGAGCTGTATATAGCTGAGATGACGGGTTTGAATCCTAGCAACAGTAAGTCTTAATGTGTTTTTTTTTTTGTTACAATCTCAAGTAGATACTTATTTTTGTGTATTTGCTCTCTTGCATAGAAATGACTCGTGTTGCTTAACAAATAAATAATTGACAATAAATATGTTGAGTGAGTTGTGTATCTGAATTTTTTAACTTTTTAGAAGTAAATTTCTGCTTCTGAAGTATCAAATATATGGTTGTTGTAGTTCTGTTACAAACAAAATTACTAAACAGGGGCAGAATGATCATTTGTCCAAAAACAGCTGTCACACAGCTGCAACAAACAACCAGTCAGTTTCCCCGCAACAACTTCTTGGTGCAACTAAGTTGTAACTGAAAAAGCTGAGAAACTGCATCTACCCGACATTGACCCTTAATCATTAGTTATAGAGATGAATTGGGGGTGTGAAGGGCGAGTTTTGCCATTTTTGCTAGTATGTTTACAAAAATAGATATAACTTTAATCCTTCTTTAAGGTCATGTTCATCTGATCATCGTATCAAATTCACGCATGTACCGGTAATACATGTATATTATTTAAATTAATTATCATGGTTGTAATTATTATGATTTTTATTTCTACTAACAATATTAAAAATACGTGGAACTAAGAAAATGAATAAATCAAACAATGATCACATTTAAAACATTCAATGAAAAGACTAAGTAATAATATAGTAGAAAATTTGATGTAATATATGGTACAAAGGGTTCAGTGCTTTGTTCAGTGGCATAATTCCATTGTAAATGGAAAAAAAGTGATAATAAATAGAGGATATTATGCCAAATGTTTTATCAATATATGGGCAGAGAATAAGAAAAACTGAAGTAATAAAAGCCTGATATATATATATATTATGCGAGCTGTATATAGCTGAGATGACGGGTTTGAAACCTAGCAACAATAAGCTTTTTCTTTTCTTAATGTGTTTTTTTTTTTTACAATCTCAAGTAGATACTTATTTTTGTGTATTTGCTCCCTTGAAAAGAAATGACTCCCTCTCTTGCATAGAAATGACTCTAGTGTTGCTTAACAAATAAATAATTGACAATAAATATGTTGAGTGAGTTGTGTATCTGAATTTTTTAACTTTTTAGAAGTAAATTTCTGCTTCTGAAGTATCAAATATATGGTTGTTGTAGTTCTGTTACAAACAACATTACTATACAGGGGCAGAATAATCATTTGTCCAAAAACAGCTGTCACACAGCTGCAACAAACAACCAGTCAGTTTCCCCGCAACAACTTCTTGGTGCAACTAAGTTGTAACTGAAAAAGCTGAGAAATTGCATCTACCCGACATTGACCCTTAATCATTAGTTATAGAGATGAATTGGGGGTGTGAAGGGCGAGTTTTGCCATTTTTGCTAGTATGTTTACAAAAATAGATATAACTTTAATCCTTCTTTAAGGTCATGTTCATCTGATCATCGTATCAAATTCACGCATGTACCGGTAATACATGTATATTATTTAAATTAATTATCATGGTTGTAATTATTATGATTTTTATTTCTACTAACAATATTAAAAATACGTGGAACTAAGAAAATGAATAAATCAAACAATGATCACATTTAAAACATTCAATGAAAAGACTAAGTAATAATATAGTAGAAAATTTGATGTAATATATGGTACAAAGGGTTCAGTGCTTTGTTCAGTGGCATAATTCCATTGTAAATGGAAAAAAAGTGATAATAAATAGAGGATATTATGCCAAATGTTTTATCAATATATGGGCAGAGAATAAGAAAAACTGAAGTAATAAAAGCCTGAATTTGAATAAATTAAAAGAAAATAAGATAAATGTTTGATGACACAGAGTATATGAGTGATTCAATTAGTTGGTGTGTATCCATTGTTGAGGAAGGGGAAAGTTTCACTGTGTTGGATGAAGATGAAGATACAAACTCTATGGCTTTTTATAATTTTCTCTCTCCTATTTTAGCAAGTACAATTCAATCTAAAGACGATAACAGTCCAAAAAAAAGTTCCTCCTTGAGTTGAAGGATGAGAAACTTAAATGCAAAAGAGAGAATATGACGAAGTTGATTTAAGTGACAATATGGACATCGTGGTTTGCATTTCTTTTAATGATATGAGCTTATTGACCGACATGTTTTGATGTGGACTATTGTTTTCTCATATAGTGGGTGACATAAAATGGCATTTTCTTGGGTGGGAGATCATGATTTATGTGTTGATGATATATGATGCAATCATTACTTCATGCTGATATGAAAAAATGACATCATTCGGGAGGTTCGTATTAGTAATTTTAGTTGGCGGCACATTAGTGCTAATGTATAAAATCTCATTAGATTTGAGCCAGGATCATGGTTAAGATAGAATAATGAATCTTGGGCAAAAGTGTTGAGGATGATCTTAAATATTTGAAATGAAGTAGAGTTAGGTTGTGAACATTAGGTTGATTGGAACTTTGTGAAACCTAATCACCCCCACAAAATTTGAAGAATTATATTCTCTTTATTCGACAACGATCTAATGAAATATAAAAAATAATATATTATCTTGATAGATAAAAATATTAATTTGTAATTGATTCAATCACTAAAAAAATATTTTTTTCTTATAAAATTTATGGGCATGCATAAGTTAAAAAGTACTCCCTGTATAATTATGAGTTAGATAGGGCCTATTTAACATGCTCTGCAAGTTTTAAGATAAACCTCTATAGTTGATTATATCTTAAGATAGATCTCCTAAGAATATTCTAGATTAAAATAGTGCCTTGTATATTCATGACTTTTAAAGTTTAGCTTTTCAAGGCTGCTTAAATGGGGTTTCAATAAAAAATAATTGAATTATAATAGTTCTTTTCAAAAATAATGAAATGTAAGAAGTGCTCTAAATTAAGAAGCTCTGCAGCTCTCAAATTAGCTTGTATCGAGCTTTATATTTTTTAAATTGAGGTTTATTTTAATATGAGTCGTTTTTTTTCTAAAATTTAGGATTTAAAGTATAATGACATAAGATTGTTGCAAAGTTTATGATATGATGACTTATGATGTAGTAAGATAATTCGTCTTAGAATCTAAAATAAGGCGAGATCTACTGTCATAATAGGATATCAAACATAGTCTAACTATTTGTAATAAACTTTTATCGTTCAATCCTACATAGGACTGAAACAAGTTCAATTACACTGGAGTACTGAACTTACACTTTTGTATGAAAAAGAATGTTAACTAAACACACCCAATTGTTTTAAAATGGGGAGATTCAATCTAATGAAATGTAAGATATATTATACTATTGTTTATTAAAGGAGAAAAAGCTTGACTTACAACTTAATTACTAAAATCAAACCACGTAGTTATGAGTGATGTAATATTCATATATAGTGAAATATTGTTTTATAGATTTTTATTTCATCATTCCAATTCAACGGGTGAAGTTATGCAATCAAAGCATGAATGTATGTTGAATTTTGGAGTCAAAGGAGGAAGAGCTTATTATGTGCAATGTGTGAAGTGCCTGAAAGAAAAAAAAAACAAAAAAAAAAGAGATGCAAGTACATTTGACTTAGTTATTTTTATAACTTTTAATTGATTTTATTGATTGATTCATATACTATTAATTGATTGATTTTGAGTTTTATAATAAACTTTGTTTAAATTATTATGTTGGGGTAAAAAGCTAATCGTACAAACATCAAAATTAATAAAATCCAGTCACATACAAATATGTGAATAAATCTATGAAAAAATATGCTTTAGAAGTATGCAAACAAATGTTGACACAATAACAAGAGAAATCAAACAAATTAGTTAAAGATATTAAATCAAAAGTGAAATGTTGATGAGATCGGGTGCCATTGTACACCTCGAATTAAATAAGAAATATATATAGATAAATAAGTAATTGCATTTATATAACTCGACCTAGATCTACAATTAATAAATTATGTTTATGGGTGTTCAATTTTTCTTCGTGGGTCAATTGAGCATCACAAATTTTCATGTGGAATCACCAACAATAAGGGATTCATTTTAGTTCATCATCGTTCACCGCTGATCATCAATTCATTTAGTTTGGTTCTTTTGCTTCGTTTTCACTTTTCATATTGAGAACAGTCCTTTGATGTCCGCATGACATAATAGGGCTCCAAATTTTCCTATGTTCTACTTGAAAACTTGATAGCATGAAAATAAACATATGTTTATTATGACACTTGTGAAATAGAAGTTAATAAACAAGCACACACAAACAACATAAATATGACAAACTTGTAGATTTAGCACCAAAAGGGGCACATGCACAAATAATAGCATATGGAAGCAAACTTATTAGTTTGGAATCATTTTATTACAAACCTCACCAAACATGATCATATGTAAAAAATAAAAGTCCGCGTCGCTAAAGATCATCCTAACATCTAGACTAGCGAACAAACAATCACACTGCCATGTAAACTACAAGCAAACATCACAAATCAAGACTTCATATGACATACCAATCAAACACAGTCATCATAACCTAAGCATAAGTTTAATGACATATTAATCACATATAATAAGTGTGTTGAGTTTGAAATAAATATTAGTATATAAAATTTAATTTAATTTGATGTGTAAGTTTATTTGAGGTGATTAGAAAAATAAACAATTATTGTATTATGTGTTTTAATAACTTTTACTTAGTTTTATTTAGATTTATTTTTAATGGAATGGTGTTTTACATTACATGGCAATTTGTTCAAATAAACCTTATATTTATCCACTCAATTTCTAGATTATTTCATGTTTTTTCAAATATATGTTTCCATTGATATTTCATACTTTTCTTTCATATTTAAATGCCTTGAAATTATCATGTTTTGAATTCTTGAAAATTTAAATTACTTCAAGGTCATTTATGAAATTTTGAGTATTTATTTAGTTATTCTAAATTTCTTATAATTTTTAATTATTTATTGTCACATTTTTAGTACAATATTTATTAGAAATTCATATGAACTTCAAATTGGTTGAAATTTTATATAGAGGTACAAAATCACATCTCAAACCTAAGGTAAAAACTAATTTTAAGGTCAAATGAATATTTAATAACTTATTATTTTCATTTAATTTTTTAAATATAAGAATATTAAATAAGTTAAAATTAATTGAAACTATTTTCAAATATTTATATTGTGGATAGGGTTCATATTTATACCGTGGTTAGGGTTCGGTGGATTAATTTTGAAGATTTTTCTTATTTTTCTTAATTTATTATAATTTTAATGAGTTTTGAGTCCACTTAATGAGTTGTTTGAATACTTATTTATATTTATCTATTTTCTTATTGAAATTAATCCAAAAATAGGAAATTCAATTTTAGATGTCACCATTGATCTTATGAATAATTCCTGAAATTATTTACAAAAAAAATATGATTATTTTGAATTATTTTTTTATTTATTTTATTAATATTATTTTTATTGGATTTCATGGGAAATTAAAATAATCTCAATGTATTTTCAAATTTTCAAAGAATACAAAATTAAGATAGGTTAATGATGATCTAAGGAACATATGAAATGAACTTGATTGAATTAATATTTATTTAATGGATTAATTATTTAATTAATAAATTGTAAAGTTTATTCAAAGTGCCAGCGCCCTTTGTGTTCAGTCGAAATCCAGTCCACCAAACAAAACAAACAAATGGAACAAAAGATTTAAAGTCCCAGGACACATTGCTGAAAGAATCGACATGTTTATATATGGTTTGCTTGAACGTGCAAATTTTTTATGTAGACCACAACTATTTATCACGTATGTCATTTTATATTTACTATAACTAACATGATCATGAGATGAAGTCTTAATATGATATAAAATATTAAATACGCTATAATTAACTTCTAATGTTCTAATAGTTGCCAAGCGATACTTCCTAATAATTGTGCTTATTGTTCACTGTAACGCATATTAGACGCTTCTCTTTGTGCTGATTTGGTCCTCTCATATATAAAGAAATACTTCTAAGTAATAGCCCGAAATAACCCTAAATTTGATGTTCATTGTCATTGATCGTCAAACCTCTGTCATTCAACAATAATTTTAACATCTAAAAAACTTGCCTACTTTCTCATTAACAAATGTATTACGTGGTCCAAGCTTATTATGTTGTATAAAAGTTTTCCAATTACATGAAATATCGTCCTCAGTAAATTTTAAATCACCCCTAAGAAAAAATTTGATTGTGTTAGTTTATAGGTAGAAAATAACGCTAAGGCCTCGTTAGGCCAAAGCAAGTCATCGCTGCAGACAAAAATACTTTGGTTGGTTGCCTCGCTTTAGTCGGTCGATTAATTTTTCTCATTCGGCCACCTCATGTGAATTGGTCGGCTAGATATCTCCACCAACCAGCTCAACTCAGTCGACCAACCAGTTCTCGTGACTAACCTATTAACTCCATCATGAATCTCGAGACTGTCTAATGGTCAGAATAAAAGAGATTAAAATGTCATTTGCTTATTCTCATTAAGACACCATTGAATATGCAATTTTTATGTACTTTTTACCTCTTCTATCTTCATGATGTAAGGATAACCCTTTTTTTTTTTTTTTTTATAGCTTCTCCCACCTGTGAGGACACCGCGAGGGAAGGGGGGTTTACTCTATCTCACTCTCACACTCAATTCCTTAGCCACGATCTACCGAATAGATCTAGATTCAACAGTTAGGCCTATTGTTTTTCACATAGTTAAATTAAGCAAGGAAAAAAAAATCTTTTCTATCATAAACTTTGCTCTCAATTTATTTGTGCGCGACTAAGTGAGATCTTCAAACAACTTAGAGATTGTTTATTTGGAAGCTTTTGCAGTGTTATTTAATTTATTTTTTTAGAGATTTTAGGAAATTTTGTATTTGGTATGAATAATTATAAAAACAATATAAATTACAAATAAATTTATAGTTTAAACCTTAGTTTATTTTGGTTGAATCTAAGATTTGGTAGATTTTGCTGAATTGGAGTTACATCATAAAATGCTATCGGCAAGCCACCACCCGCTGCCCTCCAGTTCCACACGCCCCCATTGCAGTCATCGCCAGCCATAGTTGCTGCTGCTCGTTTGCCACTGCCATTGCTACAACCACAGTTGTCGGTCATCTACCACTACTAGCATTTTATCATCGCCAGCAGTCCATCACCGCCAGTCGTTTGTCAACCGCCCCTTGCCTGGAGTCCTCTCACTATTGTCGGAGAAAAAAACATAATTTTTTTTAAAATATAGTATTTTTAATCTATTTTAAATCAAAATAAAATTTTAAATTTTTATAATAAATCAAATAGCTAAAATTTTTCTTACATTATAATCAGAACCTTCTAAAATTGCAAAGAGCGGGGCTTCGAACCGCCGAGTATTTAGAGTCCGATCCGTTGACTACAACCCGGAATCGATTTGTATCTTCTCGTATTCACTGTTCGCGACTTCAGCGGTGCTGCGATGGCGATCGCTGGAGGTGTTCGTGATGTAAATCTCAACAAGAACAGCGCCGAGATCGAGAAGTACGCTCGCTTCGCCGTCGACGAGCACAACAAGAAGGAGGTCACCGCCATTCCTCTCTGTTCTCTGATTTATGTTTTTGAACCCCTGTACATGAAGCTTTACTTATTCCCAACTTTCGATTTCATACGCCGCCGTGTTGGGTTTTAGGGTTTTCTTCCATAATTGGTGATTTCGCGGCTGTCTTGATTTGTTATGCTTTATTGTGGTCATTGTTGTAGAATGCGCTGCTTGAGTTCGTTCGTCTGGTGAAGGCTAAAGAACAGGTGGTGGCGGGAACGCTTCACCATCTGACGCTGGAAGCGATCGACGCCGGGGAGAAGAAGCTGTACGAGGCGAAGGTGTGGGTGAAGGAGTGGCTCAGTTACAAGGAGCTGCAGGAGTTCAAGCATGTTGGAGATGGAGGATCTGCAAGTTTTACAACTGCTGATCTTGGTGCAAGAAGAGGTAGTGATGAGAGCCTATTTTTATTTCCCTCGTTTCATTTTCATAATGGTTCCTTGTAAGTTCTTCTGCTGCTCTGCATTGGGAGTTGGAAATATTTGGAAACTGATTTATTTCTTAGGTTGAACGTACTTAGCAAACTTTGCACCTATAGTTTGATCCATAGCTAGTTCTATTAGTGCAGCTTGTTGGAAAATATTCTCCGGCTCCGCTATCATATTTCTTTTGATTTTTTGTTTTTGTGAGATCTTTTTTTGTTTTTTGATTACCTATCTAATGCCATGCAATCCGTACTAATTAAATATGATGTTGTTATAAGCTTATTATGTGTTATATAATAATTTCATGACTCGCTGCGCGAGGGAAACCTTAGACATAACCTAAATTGGTCTTGATAAAAACAAATTATTTTATCATACAACGAGTTCTAGAATTCATCCTCCAGCGCTAGGCCAAGCTTGACAACATCTCTGTTATAATGACTCTCAATTGGCTAACTAAGACAATGACAAACTTGTAATTTCATAGAAGCTGTTAAAGATTCATAGAAGCTTCCAATTGATGAATCGGGTCTACTTGGGAGGCCTCACTTTGTTATAAATAGTGAGGGAGGCTTGAGGCCTCACTTTGTTATAAATAGTTATAAATAGTGAGGGAGGCTTGTAGAGAGGTGACCAAGGGAAAACAAATGAATTAGTTAGAGAAAGAAGATGAGAGGCTTTAAGAATTGAGGAGAAGGATCTTGGAGATCTTGTGTCGATGTGATTCGAGAGAGAGATCATGAAAAGATGAGAGCTCATTGATCTTGGAGATCTTGTATCGAGGAGATTCGAGAGAGAGCTCATTCCTCAATATAAAAGCCTTGTAATTTTTCTTTATTTCCTTAGTGAATTTGTTATTGATTTCCATCTCGTGGATGTAGGTCCTACGGACGGAACCACGTAATTCTTGGGTGTTCTTGTTTCTTGTTTGCGTATTATCTTTGCTGCTATATTTTGTTTCTTTTCCCTTTTTTTTTGTTTGCTGTTGTTTCACACTCCTTCGACTGTCAAGGAGGTTTTCGACATTTATTGTTTTTTTCCTCTTTGGCAGTTAAGTTCTTGGTTTTCTTCAGGTGTTCGACAGTACAGTTTTTTGATTTTCTTGAGGTGCCAAGCGGTTCTATTTTTTTCATTAATAATTGACGTCATCTGTGGGAAGCCTAGCCACGATAATGTGAACCGCCAAATTCGACCTCGAGAAATTCACCGGAAAGAATGATTTCGATTTGTGGAGAGTCAAGATGAGAGCTCTGTTGGTGCAACAAGGTGTTGCAGAAGCTTTGCAAGGGTCCGACCAAAATGTCCAAGAAAGAGAATAATGACATCCTGAAGAGGGCTCACAACTTGATAATCTTGAGTTTGGGTGACAAAGTTCTGAGGGAAGTATCGAGGGAGACGCCGATTCAAACACTTTGGGTCAAACTTGAACTTCTCTATATGATGAAATCTTTGGCTAATAGGCTCTTCTTGGAAGAGGTTCAATCGCTGATTAAAGCCAAAGAACTTCAAAAGAAATATAACATGAACGAGGAATCAACGGAGATGGTATTATCGTGAGAGGAATATCAGACAATAAAGATTCAAGAAATGGTCAGAATAGATCAAGATCGAGATAAGAAAAGAAGAGCAAGGGCTAAGGGTCCCTCGGGGCTAGGTGGAGGGAATCTCTATTCAACATTTTGTAATTGAGTTAAGTGGAATAATTGTTGTAATGACTCTCAATTGACTAATTAAGACAATGCCAAACTTGTAATTTCATAGAGACTTCCAATTGGTGAATCATGTCTACTTGGGAGGCCTCACTTTGTTATAAATAGTGAGGGAGGCTTGTAGAGAGGTGATAAAGGGAAATCAAATGAATTGGTTAGAGAAAGAAGACGAGAGGCTTCAAGAATTGAGGGGGAGGATCTTAAAGATCTTGTGTCAAGGTGATTCGAGAGAGAGATCATGACAAAATAATAACTCATTGATCTTGGAGATCTTGTATCAAGGAGATTCGAGAGAGAGATCAGGGCAATATGAGAGCTCATTTCTCAATGTAAAAGCCTTGTAATTCTTCTTTATTGCCCTTGTAATTCTTCTTTATTGCCTTTATTGCCTTAGTGGATTTGTTATTGATTTCTCTCTCGTGGATGTAGGTCCTATGGACCGAGCCACGTAATTCTTGGGTGTTCATGTTTCTTGTTTGCTTATCTTTGCTGCGGTATTTTGTTTCTTTTCCCTGTTTTCTTGCTTGCTGTGGTTTTACTCTCCTTCGGCTGTCAAGGAGGTTTTCGACATTTATTGTTTCTTACTTTTCGACAGTCTAGTTCTTGGTTTTCTTTAGGTGTTCAACAGTCTAGTTCTTAATTTCCTTGAAGTGCTAAGCGGTCCAATTTTTTTCTTCAACAATCTCAAAAGACATAATTTGCTTGCATGTCATTTAAAGTTTTTCTAACTTAGGGGGTGTTTGGTAGCATACTATTTATGGGATTTAGCCATGGATTAGCTAAAATCTCGCCAAACATTAAAAAAAAAAACAGAAACTAAATTCAATGTTCCATTAATTCAAAATGTCTCGCATGCCATCGATTTCCTTCGCGTTCTATATGATAAATCCCGGATTTGATAAATCCTGGTTAATGTAAATCCAAGTCGCAAGCAAACACCGCCTTAGGCTTTCCTTGAAAGGAACCATCTATAAATATTTGGCTGTTGTTGTAGAAGGCACAATACAAATGTTTTAGATGAAATGAAGTGTACGAAGAACTATGGTTTTAAACTCTCCAGAGTATTAGTGAAGTGGAAGATAGTGTAAAGAAGAATATCAGTAGATTATATATAGGGTTTTTTATGAAAATGACGAAACAGTAATTAAAGGATGGTTTTTTTAGTAAATTTTTTTTTTCAATCGAAAGTAATGAAGGAGAAACATAATTTTCATTAAATAATTAGTACATTACAAACTATCACAAAAAAAATTGCTCACAATACGATGTACAACTATCAACTCATTATAAAGAGAAAACAAAGGAACTTTACACAAGGATTGTGAGCATCTTTATCAATAATTTTCCCTTTCGAAGAATTCGCTGCAAGAAAAATTTACCTTCGGATTTGCATTGGTTTAAGTGAGCTGATTCTAAGTATCTTTTAAAAACAATCCGTCAAGATCTTATGTTAGACACTCAAAAGTGAATTGCGCTGCAAATCGTAACTAATTCATTAAAATTAACCTATCAAATTAAGTTTTTCAAATATCCCACACTAATGTTACCTTCTTATCCTGATTCAATATGATCATGTAAAGACATAGGGCTCATTCCCTTGAACCCATCCATTATCTATTCGGTGGGCCTAACGGCTATGTCACAACAATCAATATCTCCAAAGTAGAAAAAGGTTCTACGGTGACCGGAGCTTTCATAATAACTAGAGTTTCACAAGGGCCTTAAGAAATGAGGACAAGAAAAAGTTTCCTCATGAGGATTTTTCTTTTGTTCTCTATCCTCACAGTTTTCTTCTTCTCTAAGCCCTCATCTTTTAAGTGCTTACCAACTAAAGAAGAATTAAAAAGATTTTATTTTTTGAAATTTTGATTCAATTCATTGTGACGTCCTCCATTTGTTGGAAGGATCACAAAAAGAGCAAGAGACGAAATAAAAGAATAGTTATTGAGAAGAGAAGAAACTCATTTGTGCATTGTTTATAGAGGATAACAAGGGATACCACATAATATTTATAAATATTTTCATTGAATTAATAAATTTTTTATTGATTATTATTTTTGTAGTTTTCTGCTAATTATATAAGATAATCGTAAAGAAAAATACGTATAACAGAACTCACTTTTATCGAGTTTAGGACATTGGTCAAACACCTGATATGTGACTAAGGGTCAGGATCTTACAAAGTATAATGTGACAACTGACTTTGACATACTTGGCAAAGACAACCCAACAAATTAACACAACTAGCCTGCTCAACCAATCAGTTTATCCAACTATTCTAATTAACCAGTTCAGTGGGCTCTCTTAGCGAGTCAGGATGACTTGCTCAACTCGTCTCATAACTGGATTATGTTATTTAGCCTTTTACACTACACATTTAACTATATCATTGTACGCATTTCAATTTATCTCTTTCTTTTGTGTAGTCATCTATGCAACATCCTCTGGGGCAAGCCAATCCTTTAAAGAGGCCACGCAAGGAATAGGGGGTTTTTGGGGATCACTCCATAAAAATCAGTTCGATTCTATTTATTTGCTAGTACTCTTTTTCTTTTACATGCCATTATCTAGGCAGTATGAGGCTATAGACAATTTAGGCTTGAACACTTATAATTTGTTAGTGATCTTTGTTGGGAATGTGACAACCTTCATGGGAACTAGATGGCTGAAACATTGCTTACTGGAATAGGTTTCTTCTTAGATTTTCATTTCTTAGAGCCTTATATTGCTGGCACTATAGCTTTGGAATGATAAATTAAGGTTAAATAAGAAGCATGTTTTAGGTTCAAATTTTAATCCTTTTTTGCCAGAAGGGATACCTTGTGCCTTGATCATGTTGTCTTCTGAAATTCTTTTTCTTGATCAAAACATTCCTTTCCAGCATATGTTTCTTCTTACATTTGATGATCTTAGAGCCTTATAAGATTAAGAAGAAACATAGTTTAGGGTTCAAAATTTAACTATTTTAATGACTCATAGTGTTAATTTTTGTCTTGATCATGTTGTGTCATCTGAAGTTCATTTTATCGGTCGAATGATTGCATAACATGCTTTTGGTGGCACCCCTAGTGAATAAGGTGGTCATATTCTTCTATCGTAAGAACTAGGAGGAATAATGACATGTGCATTCAAATCTTCTTGTGGAAGGTGCGTCAATTCAAATATTAGACTCAAAGCAAATCACTTGGATTTATATATTGAAACCATCTTCAGTAAATTGGAAATTTTTAATTCCCAACATCATGCTATTCCA